CTTTGTCGGTCTCTGTGCTGCATCTCTGAGCTCTCCCAGCATGCTTTTCTCACGCTGTAATGTCACACCTGTGTATAAGGTGACTCCCTGGAGTCTGAAACTTTGAGGTCAATGTTGCACCACAGTGGTGGCAGTTAAGATGCATGCACGTTTGAAACATGCAACTCTGCATAAAAGTAACAAGTAATGTTAACTGCAAGTGAGTAAATGAAATGATGTGACACTGCATTACTGCAACGCTGCAGCAGATTTATATCTGTTGTTCTTTCCAGTTTGGATATAAAATTTTAAATCAAGCTTCTGTTATGTCCACCAGGCTTGTTTGGTGGGGGTAACATTAAATGAGCCCACACAAGGAATTTCTTTAAAGTGAAAATTGAATTTATTAAATTATACTAAAGAAACAATACCTGAATAATGGATAAATAAAATGGGGAATAGGAAATGGCTTAATGCAATACCAATAACTAAACAGAAATAAGCAAATGCAAAGAAACCTAACAAAACGATAGGATAGGATACAAACCAAACCAAACCAGACCAGACCAGATGGGGTTCTGAGGAGGTAAGAGGGAGAAGGCTCCTGTCTGCTGCTTGCATGACAGCTTTTAAAGCAGACGAGCACCAATTAGAGCAAAACAGAACACCTGCAGAAGGCCTGCATCCAGAACCCTGCAAGGAAAAGTGCAGAAACCCACTGCAGCCGTAACACTTCCTAGAAGAAAAATGTTTGACCAAATTAATACAGATAATTCAAATAATATTTTTTCTTATATAATAATCATTAATAACATACATAAATACTTATAAATGAGCTGCAGTTAAAGTACATAATACCAGAAATAATCCTTCTCAAGTACCTGTAAATGAGTTTTGTGTCCCTGTCCTGAAAAACCTGCATGTGTGCCCTATTATCACATGGATGTGTCTGTTGTTGCTATAATCATAGCTTCAGGCCTGCTCAGGCCATTCCAGCAGTCATTGGAGTTTTCAGCTCTGGGCAGAGTGCTATTGTGAAAAAAGGAAGCAGTTTGGTTATGAGAAAAGTCCCCACAATGTGCAGAGATTTAATTGTCTCTCATAAATATTTGTGCATTGTGTGTTGGGTGAATCAGACAGGAGGAGAAAAAAAAATGCCATCACTGCATGCCAAGAAACAGGTGCTGTCACTCTGGTGCTATAATTACCATTGCAGATGGAGTGATAGATATTATTACCGAGAAACTATAACTTTTATAATCAGAGCTTGCTGTAATAACTGAAGTTTCAGAGTTAAACAGTAAATAAAAAATAGAATTCAAAACATCAAATGACTTTTCATGTAAGCTTTTATTTTTTTAGGTCAGCTAATATGTAATCTGGGTTACAGTAAAGGCTTGGTCGTTACCTTTGGACTTTAGCGTTGTTCTAAGCTTATTTAGTAGGAACTTTGCTCTCAATGTGGTTGAGGCTAAAATGCTTTCCAAACAAACAGATTAAGTCATTGAACAGGTTGTTACTTCAAAAGCACCCCAGATCTACAAAAACAAGACAAGTGTTTACACCAGAAACTCTTTTTCTTTATAAGGGGTTAAATATGGGCTGTCAAAGGAAACTGCTGGTGAATGCTGATAGGGGTCTAAACATGCAGCCAGTGATCTTATCGGCCTCCTGGAAAAGAACCAGCTGATGAAGAAGCAGAAAGTCAGTCCTCCAATGGAACTCCTTGACTTGAACCCAAAGATCATTCATAATGTCTAAAGAACAGACAGTTCATTCTTTTCAGAAAACTTTCTTGATTAGTTTTCTTTCCTGAAATCAGATCTGTAGGAACAGATTGAAACTCATTTCTCGAGATTACACTTTTCTACGTATTGTGGATCTCTATCGTGGAAATAACAATGTGCACAACACAAATGACTCGCCTGTTTTATTTCTTTTGTAGAAGGTAGATCATAAGAGTTCATTTATTTATATCTCAGGTTAATCTATGGTTCCTAAAGCTCAGTGTTATATGTATATGAAAAATAAATTTGCTGTAAATTAGCGGATCTTGCTCATAAGAAGTCATGATTCTGAATGTTGTTTAAAATGCATAATTCAACAGAGGCCCCTCTCCTATAGCACCCTCTACTGACATGAGCTGGAAAGTATCAAACTAATGCAAAATTTTGAAAAAATGCCTACAATTAAATTATTTTTGTGTGTGTGGTGGTGTTTGACTGTTTACTTTGTAACCACCTTTCCCAGTGACCTAATTATCAAAAGAAATGTTATAAGAAAGCTTGCTATCATAGACAGTACAATTGAAAACTTTGCCCAGGTTTATCCTTGATCCCACTTCACCCTAAAATTTTCATTCTAAAGTTACAGACATCCTTGACTCCACTTGATCCAGTTAAAATAAAAAGCTGTCTCTAGGAAGAAGAAATCTCCATGGAGAAATACTCCAACAGTAAGAAAAGAAAAGAGGAAGTGCTGCAAAGCCGAACAAAGGTTCCAAAAGAATGGACTCTAGGTTCACTTTGACATCAATAGACTTCACAGATATAATTTACAACTAAAAGGTACAAGATAATCTTTCTTCCCTGAGATTGTAAACAAAAAATATTAACAAAGAAATCATCAAGCCATTGTTGAAAAAGAAATCTCAAACCTCTCCATCAGTAAAATTATTGAAAATCTTGTATTTCAACAGTTATATGCTTTCTTGAAAATCACCATCTGCTTTGATGTCTTCCAGCCAGGTCTCCATGCCAACCGCACAACTGAGACTCCCCTGATTAATGACATTTTCAATCAAACAACATTAAAGAAGTTTAAAAAAACAACACACCACTGGACTTTGTTTTCCAAGTTTGAAGACGTTTTGCTTCCTATCCAGGAATCGTTCTCAGTTCAAAACATCTGGAGTAGCTTTTGAGTTCCAAGCTTATAGAGTGGCATAAACATAAACTTGCATTGTGTGGATATTCTTCTTCTTATTTTTTTATTTCTTATTTGTGAAATTTGCACAAAAAACATTTCTATAGTATTAATAGTAGAAGAAATAATAATTATAATAATAGAAGAAGAAAAAAACGAATTATTATGTAATGATAATATATTGTTACCTTATTATCCTTATAATGATTGTTATGAAATAACAGCCCTCCTCCTCCTTTCATTAATCTGTTTAGTCAGTTTTCCATCCACTATATGGCACCAGTTTGCCAGCAGCTTGGGTGAGCCTCCCAGGTGTTCCTCATCTGCCCTCATCAACTGGAGGTATAAAAAGAGACGACTGTCAGCACTCCAGCGCTTGAGTGTTATTAACCAGTGGAAATCTTAAACCTCTGTAAACTGCCGTCTGTTTTCTTTTGAATCCTGCTTACCTGTTCCTCTGCTCCTTTTTCAGGAGATCTGCTCCCTGGATCCTCCAAGTTGGAGGCTCTAACTCTGCATCTGAAACTTCAAGTGATTCACTTGGTTCTCTGCTCTGGCTAGCAGTGGTGCCTTCCTTTTCTCTAGTGCATTTAAACCAGTCAAACCAGGCTCCCCCTCCAATGCTCTCTGAATATCTGCATACTAACAGTTCTTGAGTAGAAAGTAACATGGGAGTAGATTCTAACTCCTGTCTTGTCCCACTCCCACAGAAAAACTATCTAGTCCCGTCCCAATCCCGTAAAAAAATAAAATAAAAATCCTTTTAAAATGTTGGCAGCTTTTCTATGATTTTCCCTTTGTTTTGTTTTTCTTTTGGGGGTATAGGATTAAAGTATTCATTCTGCCTGAATTAATTTTTTAATCGTGGTATTTTCGAACCTTTTAATAATAATCTTATTGCTTGATTGTTTAATTTTAAAGCATGTTTAAACATTTAATCCACATGTAGACCAGTTTGAGTAGTCTTTTTACTAAACCAGTTATTATGCATAAGTATTGTTCTGAATAACAATTTCTACTTGAGTAAAACTATGTTTAAGTAAAGGTACCCTTAGTTAATTTTTGGCTACTATACCTCTGGTCTTCACAGTACCCTCACCGTTTAGGGGTGGGGTTCCCAGATCTGCCTACTGTACTAGAATTGGGAGCCATATCTATGTGGCAGACCTTTTATTTGTGAGGCTCCTCTCCTGTGGAACCAACAACCAATTTTAGTCTGTAAAGCAGACACCCTCTCTACTTTTGAGACTAGGCTTAAAAATGTCCTTTTTGATTAAATTTAGTGACTCAGATTATCCTGAGCTATCTCTATAGTTAAGGTGCTTTAGGCTTGGGCTGCTGGAGAACATAATGAATACACAATCCTGCCATATTCAGTTTCTATTCTCCCATTCTGCAGTATTTGTTAGTTCAACCTCTAACTGTACGATCTCTCTGTTTTTCTTTTTATGGTAGCTTTATCTGTCCTGGTTGTGACATCATCCTGGAAAGAATTATCAGCCTCCCTCAACACCTGTTTTTTGTTTACTTTTAGTATTGATTCCTGTTTCTCTCCTCAACATGGCTATGCACTGCAAAAACAATCTAGAAATAAGTAAAAAATTACATAAATTAAGTGTATTTACTCTTAATTTAAGTAGGTAAATGATATTGTCCGTCAATGGAATGAGATGTTTTTCTCTTAAAATTAGATAATATGCACTTGAAATATGACAATGCAACCATTTATTTCTTTTATTTATGTACATTGTCTTGTTCCATTGGCAAAGTGTCTCACCTCCTCAATTCAAGAAAAATACACTTATTTTAAGAAAACAATTTTTTGCAGTATAGGCTCAGCTTTTACCCTTTGACATGAAAACTGAAATTGTTTTAAAACAATTTATTTTCTACCGTATATCCATTTATTTTATGCTTTATTTTTTAAATATTTTTAAACTACATTTTCTTTAGATTCTTTAAAATGATGCAACATTTCTTCCCTGCTGCTGGGGTTACTCCCCTCTTGGTGCCAACAGAAACTTATTGAAGCCCTGCAGTTTCCAACTTCTTTCTAAGAGATGGAAAGCGAAAGCAATGTTAACTTTCGTTTTCCTGACTTACAGCTGATTCGGTTATATAAAGCAGCTGTCTGTGCTGCAGCATTCGGAGGACAAACACTGCTTCAACATTTCAGAGGTTCGTCAGACATCAGATTATAAAGAAAGATGAGCAGAGGATCCACAGGTAATATTTGCCTTTTTCAGACATAGAGAAATGTGATTCACTTTACTTTTGTTTGTTTTTTTTTTGTTTTGTTTTGGGTTTTTTTTGTTTTTTTTTACTTTGGGTTGAATCAAGGGTGCTGGTGCGTTTAAAAAATGTTGTTGTTTTTTTTTTTTTTACATTGAGTTAATGTTGGTAATGATAACTGTAATTTAAACTAAAGATCTATCATCTATGCACATTGTTGAAAACCATAGGTGCTTTAAAGGAAGGGTGAAGTCAGAGCTCCAGAGTAAACAACTTGATAAACATTCAGTGCTAATAACAGAGACTAAAAACATTGAGAAAAGAATTATATCCAGTTAAATAGTTAAAGTAAATAGTTAAATATGCACCAGTTTAGGGTTGGTCAATACTAATCAGGAGTCTTCCTTATATTTAAAGAACCACAGCCTAACCAATTTAATGTGTTTGTTATGTGAAATTATGAATTATTAATTCAGACATCACAGACATAAACATATATACAGATATATTAGCAAAGGGGTTCATTAAAACTTTGTTTGTCTTTAGTAGCTTATCATTTTCGTGTTATTAGTTACATCAAACACAAAAACTAGTTCTTTAAATAGCACGAAATCTGCATGGTTCATCTTAAATGTTAGTATATTGACATGCATAATAATTATCCTGGTTTTTTTTTCCAATCAGTTTATTGTTAATATACTATTATATTTTTATGTTGACGGAGATAGGGCATTCCACTTGATGGTATCACTGCTGCCTCCTTCTGGTTAAGAGGTGAACTGCTTAAAAAATACAATACAAACTCTCATAGAGAATTAAAACAATATATAAACAGACGCTAGGGGGCAGTACAGACAAAAGGAAACAATAAATGAGCAGGATGATGCAGAAAACAACAGCAGTAACTGAAAAATTTGGAGGCTTATCAACACAGCTGACCTCCAGTCTTTTAAAGCAGCCAAGGAGCAGTAGTACATTTTCAAGTCATTTAAGATACAAAGAAAAAAAAAGGCTTTTCTTTTAGGGCTTCTCCACTTGCAGCAATGCATATGATATTTTGCCAATAATAGCAAATTATTTACCACAGTACATAAAG